ATTTTACTTGGATCCTTTTATTACTTTTTACAAAGTTTACTTACAGGTTTTAATTGCTTTGACCTTTTTAAATTGTCTTAACTTTAAATCTCATTGATTTCTTAGGATTATTTTAAGTGTCTTTAAATTTTACCCCTTTCTTTTATTGCTTCTCATTTGAGGTTTTTATTTCTTCGTTCAGTCACTTTGATGTTTTAAATTTGACTGATTTTAATAGAATTTAGATTTTATAGTTTTACAGTTTCAGCATCTTGTATCGGGAAAGTATAACTTAAGTTACGATTTCAAAAAAACCCTGATAGTACCATCTAACAGAAGTTTTCGGAACTATATTTTTCTTCTCGAAGCAAAATTCAATCGCCTCACAATTGTTTTGCTAAAGTATCAGATCATTCTGACGAGTAGTTTTATAATTATAGACTTTTGAAATAGTAATTTTAATTTCACTCTCTATTTCATTAATATTTATTCCAAGTCAGCAGGTAGAACTGCTGCATAAGAGATATCTTGTACTGGTAACAGCTCAAGTTGTTTCTTAGGACTATACGCACTGTGCTGATCAACATATCCAGCATTCGGCCAATTCCCCATACACTGTTGATTCCAGCATCACTGTTCGTCTGTTTTTGTAATGCTGCAGCCACATCTTCCAAAGTCGCAGCTGAGACTGGTTTCTTTTGTTTACCCCGTTTCCCGTCAACTGAACGGTCTCTTCGAATTTAGTAATCATTTTTCGCAAATCATTTGTGCTCATTAGACCCGATTTTATGTATTTTAATGTCCGAAATGCCCTATTAGCTGTAAGTGCAAACTCGTCGTTCAAAAAAGATTCAAGAGCAGAGCGCGATCCTTTATAATCAGAGTCATGATGAAGCATTCAGACAAAGAGCTGGTGGTGTGCATTTTCATGGCAGAGTAATTCGAATATCTCTTGGCAATGTAAACCCTGCCATCTAGTGGCAGATTTCGAGACTATTTTTCTCTTCGCGAAATAGATTCTTCTCCGGGCTCGGATTCCAAACATACGACTAGTGGAAGTAGAACTTCCCCGATTGACGCCTTCCCTTGACGTCACACAGTCCACTGTTTTGAATTTCAGTATTCTGAACGCTAATATCAGTGGAGTAGACTCGTGGACTGGTCTACTTCATGAGAAGAGTAGGGATGAATCTTCTTCCGTGCTATCAGCCAATAAAAATGCTCGAAGCATTCTGATGCAATTCCAGCGCGCAACAAGCTGTTGAAAAAGGCATTTTGGTTCAGTATCTAGTATTTGAGATAAAATGTTGCCTTTTAAGGTTTATTTGAGATTAAATATTGTAAAACTTTACTTTTATTTTATTGCACTAATATTCGATATTTTCATTTATTAAATAAATGTTATATACATCTCCGAAATGATAAGTTTTTTGTTGTTGTTATTTTTGATATAAATAAACATTGACATATTAGATAAATTTTATTTACAAGTCTGATAGTTAAAAATCTAATATGTGCTATTATTATAAGTATATGTTATTGAGTTGCAATCAGATCTTCGGTTTAATTATTCTAATAGCGATTAAGAAACCAAATTTTGTTTTTCAGTATTGTATTACAAGATCATACATCGTATCGGCATATCACATGTATGCTTTTTTTTTAAGAAATAAACTTTTAATTGCATTTAATATTATGTGGATAGTAGAAAAGATCCAGAAAAAAAATTAAAATATTAGAATTTTTAAATGTAAACAGCATTCTTGCTACACATCACTTTATGTTGCTAAACAGATGGTTTTCACTTTATATTTTGAAAATTACGAATTTTCTTAATTATGATTTAATGCCGGTGAGTGAAAGCTTTTTTTATATAAGAAGGTAGTATTTATATAACTTTATTTGTGTTGATAATAAAAGAAAGTATAATTTGCAGTTTAAATTCTATTTTCAAGTAAGTTTTTCGTTTTCTGCTTCATTATTCGTATACGGGAGAAATTTGATAAATACCAATCAAATGATGAAAAGATGAACATTACAGTTCATTATATGAACCTCTTTGTTACATGGAAAATTTTTTGAACTTTCTTTTAACAAAACTTTTATAAAATTTTAGCTATAAGGAAAAATTCACTTTGAGATATTCGAAATATTTAGTTATTAATTTGTCAAGCAATTTATGTACTACATATTGCAGGGTCACCAAGAATTACAAATGCAATTTCAGCAATATTAGTTTCATGTAAAAAAAGATTTTTCAAAGATTTTAAGTATAGTGAATTATAGTATAGTTTCATAGTTATAAAATACTTTATTACTCACTTAGGTATTTGTTTATATCCCATTTTCAGTTTTTTATGGTAACATTAGAACAAGTGTAGATTTGATTTGAACCCAAAATCTGACAAAAGTGTTTAAAACTTTTTCATTTTGTTGATTGTACGTAAGTGACCTTTTATTTTTGTTTTTCGGACAGTTGCAAAAAATCTTAATGCACATAAAACCTATGAATGTAATAAACAGTTATGTAATAGTTATGTAACAGTTATGTAATAGTAGCTCTATTTAAATATTCCACATTACAAGTTGAATAGTACTTAAAAGTAATTTAGTTTTAAAATTAATATTTTTAACTGGAAATAATGCAAACAATACCTATAAATGTAAATTTAACTATCTGAAAAAAAAATTGAAATTTCTTGAAAAGAGTTAAGAAAAAAGTTTCACATAAGCACGTGAGGCAGTGAAAACTTAAATTTCAAAAAAAAAAAAAATTCAAAAATACTTTGTAATCATATTTTTCCTATATTGATTACAAAAGGAAATACTTCTAAGTTAAATTTATCTACCTTGTTTCAGAAATGAAGGAAATTACAACAAACTTTTTATTACATATAAAACTAATGAAAATTACAAGGTCTTAAATTTTCTTTTAAAAAAATGTGAAATAGAAAGCGTAATTTAACGTATTAAAATCCTATCTGCAGTATCTTTTTAAGATTATAAAAAGTAATTAAAAAATGACACACTTGTTTTTTAGTGGAGTAAAATATTTGCTAAGAAAATTGAGACAATTTCTAGTCATTAATCAACAATATTTGTTATTTACAATTTAACATTAGATAATCTAATAAAATAATGAGAAAATAAAAAGTTCTACAAAATTTTTAGTCAGAAAAAAATTATCATTTACGATTTTACCTATTAAGTTCATCAAATATACTACAACCCCCAAACCCCTGTATTACAACCCCAAAAATACCTATTTATTCGCATATAGCAAAGAAAAATTAAATTCAATTAGTTTAAAAAAAATATATGCACATGATATTGAAAATAAATTAAGTTTAACTTGTTTCTACTGAAATCCCGTTTTCTCGCCTTGTTCTTTTTCCAAGTCCTCTCTTAGTTCCACGCATAAATACTGAACAAGATTTTTCGTTAATCGAAAAAAATCAAAAAATACATCATCATGAAGACTAAAAGCATCTTTTCTGTTTCTATATATCGGTCTCCTCCGAGGATTTAGCCGTGTAAAATAATTGCTAATCAATGCATTTCATGTGCTCGCCTTTACTCTACTGAAAATACCAGTGGTTTTCGCGTCGACTAAAAAGAGCGCTCAAGATCCACTAAAACTTCCTTGGAATATCAAAAATCGAGCAATGGGAGGGGAAAGTAGAATATCAGGTAAAGGCCCCCCTGGTTCGGCTTCCAAATGCTCAAATCGATTGTCGACTTCCAGCTCAGAATACCAGCTCCGGTTAGAACCTGCCTCTTCTTTCCTGAGAGAGAGAGAGAGAGAGCTATCGCGGCAACGAGTCTTGATTTTCCCCCGAATACCCTACTTTAGGAGGAGTGAGCGGGATTCACAAAACAACGTCTGCGCTACTCAAACCCAATGCAGGCAAGGGGCCTGAACAAGATTTAGTAGCTTGCAATTTCTGATTAACATAGATAAGAAACAAGCACGTTCATTTTAATTTGAAAACTAAACTGAAATCTTAAATATGAAATGTTATAAGAAAATAACTCCCTACTACTAATTTCAACAAAAACTTTCATACTGAAATGCTCAAAAAAGATTCACAAACTAAATCCTTAAATCTTTTTTCACAATTCTCTCAACTTTCAAAACAAGTTTTATTCTAATTAATAAAATTTACGAGAAAAGGGTATGTTCAAGGCCAAATAAATTTTTTTATCTATCACTGCATGCGCCAGGCGTTGTAATTGATTATTTAATAGACGCTGATGCCGGTTTTAAGCACCTCAGTCACATTGAGTGGTGCTGCAGACGCACCTCTTTGGTGCTGCAATCCCAGCACAATAATCAATTAAATTCTTGGATTCATTTTATGATTTTGTAAGCCAATTTTTTCTCTTAATTTCTTCTTTCAATCCATGATTAAAACTACTACAAGACTAAGTATAAAACGATGGGTTGGTAAAGGGCCCCCACTGTGTTTAAAAGCCTTGAACAAAATGACTATGGGATAGTTTCTATGATTAAGTTGTTTAGGTCACTTTTGCTAGGACACTATTGGCAACGGTCTGGGAAACATCCTGAGGATAAGTTAAAGACATGCCATCGCAATTTGGATCCTCTGCAGACAGGATGGCTCTCCTGCTTTGGTATCCCGATGATCTTCTCGTGAAGTCGAACTATTTACGGTGGAACACTTTAACAATGACCAATACCGCGCACCCTCGGTCCCTTCACAAGCTGATCAAAGTGGTCACCCACCCGCTTACTGACCGAAGCCAGTGATACTTCGGTGTTCTACAGGGAACCGTGTCTTTACGATCAGTCCATTGCGGGACCTGAACGTGATGTTTAGAATCGTGATGAAATGTTTACGAGAGGGATTTGGGATCAGTTCTTTGGTCACTTGTAGGAGAAAAAAAAAATCATTTGTTTCGAGAAGAAATTGTCCTTTGCAAAAAGAATAGAAACTTGAAAAATATCGAGATATATTGTTAAGTATTGACATTTAGATACTAGATAAAAATGTTGATACCATCTACAGTCGTGAAAATTTGCCAACCAACGTCTCCTTCTTGGGTGAAAGCGCAATTCGAATCACCGGTTTGGAAGGCGCAGTAGAATCGCCGATTCGGTGAATGTGAATACTGTGGTGGTGTACTATACAAGTCTGGAAGAAAGAGGAAATAAAATCACCCAACAATTTTAAACCGTCTCTACGAAATTCTTAAGAGAACAAAATAGTTTTCCATTACTATAGAGTAGTAGTAGTACTTCATTTAAGTTTCTCTAAAACTGTACAATATCTGGGAAGCATTCCTGGATTCAGAAACACGCTATAACAGTTGTGATTCTCTGATGGATGCCCCGCTTTGGATTTACGGCGAATCGATACCTCACACACTGGGTCACAGACCGCTCGAATTCAGCGTTCTACTGGGAATCGTGTTCATACGATCAGTCCACAGTGGAACTTTAATAGCATATACAGAAAAATGTATAACGAAATGTTTTTATTTGATTTTTTGAAATTTCAAGTTTATATAAATAAGTTCTCACTCTGTTTACATATTTACATATAAACTCTTCAGTCTAATCGAACAAAATTTAGAACTCACTCCTGATTTCAACTTTTTCTACAGATTTTAAATCAATATATATAAAGTCAAATAAGAAAAAGCAATTAAAAGAATTTAAATGTAAATGCAAAGATAAATAAATGACAAACAATCACAAAGTCTTAATAATGACTTAAAAGAACACAAAATAAAAAATAAGAAACGCCCGCAAATAAGAAAAATAAATAAAGATAAAGTTACAGTTAGAATAGCCACGTCAAAATAACATATAAATTGTCAAATCATTAAGAAAACTTTAGAAATAAATCAAGTGCTGACCCCTTTTTGAAAATCTTGAAAAAATAAAACAGTAAAACATTCAATGAGTAAAAAATTATTATTCTCTAATGTAATCCTGAAATTCCCAATATCGAAAGATCAGCTGAATATACAATAAAAGAAGGGAATTTAAGTTTAATGTTATTAGTTTAACACATTTTAATTCCAACCTTTACTTTAAGATTTTTAAAAAAATATTTTGATTGGTCAAATTATTAGATTTAAATTTATTTGAAATAATAAAACAGATTTTCTTTCAGCTATTGGGAATTTCAGGATTACATTAGAGAATAATAATTTTCCTTTTAATTACTGTAATTATGAAGTTTTGATTCGAAATATTTTAAAGACTTTCGAATAATTTGGCCGATATTGATGCCCGCATAAATAGGCCTATGCGCTGAAATTTAGGATTTTATGTTCTAGATGGCAGCACCTTTTTAAAATTTTTTCACTCATTGAATGTTTTATGAATGTTTATTGAATGTCTCATTGAATATTCTGTTTTATTTTTGATTTTCAAAAAGGGGTCAGCACTTGATTTATTTCTAAAGTTTTCCCAATGATTTGGCAATTTATATCTAATTTTGATGTGCTATTCTAACTGTAATTTCATCTTTAATCTTGTGCTAATCTAACTGATATTCTAACTGTAATTTTATCTTTATTTATTTTTCTTATTTGTGGGCGTTTCTGATGGCTTATTTTGCGTTTATGGCTTATTTAGGTTTCACAACTGACAACAGAAAGATTCCTGTGTGTTAGCAGGCAGTGTGTCCCCTAATGAAGTACTGTTCTGCTAACACACATATCTTTAAAGAAAATTATGTTCTTTGTTTTCCGCAGGAGCTATTTTTCAGACTTTTTAAATTAAAATAAAACGAATTTGGGCTGCTTTAAGCACTTTTCGATTCTGATTTATTGATTTAAATGTTATTTACTTATTTTGTCTTTTTTCTGAATTTGTAAATTAATTTCATTCTTTGATTTTAAATATATATATATATATATATGCAATAAAAACAGGAAGGATAAAAAGAAAACAGAGAAAAACGAAGGAAATTAAGAAAAATAATAAGTTTTATTTACTGAGCCGCGTAAAAACTGCAAGTATATAGAACTCATAAAATAAGTTTAAAATATCGAGGGAATATGGAAAATAATATAATAAAGATTAATGAAAAGAGAAGAAAAATTATTAAAATAAAATATAATAAAATATAATGTATTTTAATTTGTTTTATTATATTTTATTTAAATACGTTTTAATTTTTATTATATTTTATTAAAATAAGATAAAATATATTTATTTTATTTTAGTTTAGTTTAATAAGTTTTCTTGCTCTCTTTTCAGTCATCATTATTACACTCATGTCCATAAATTAAGAATAATTCAGAATCACACGGAAATCAAACTCTAAAATTAAAATTTCACCTGTAGAATTATCACACACAGCCTGAAGAAGAATATGCAAATTACAGGAAACCACTAGATGGCGCTGGTAGTACGTCACAATGACGAGATTGTAAGAGAGGGGTATATAAAGAATGGTGGCAAAGAAGTAAAATTGTTCACAAGCGTTTTAAAAGCCTTTCAGTGCAATAACCACATAGTTATGGCACAAAGGAAGCATTTGGAGGATTTTTTATGTGGCAGAATCATCGGACGACTGGAATGTGGACGTACCCAGCTGGAAGTATCCGAGGAACTTGGAATCACCCAGAGTGTCATCTCCAGGCTTTGGCAACGATTCCAAGATGATGGTAATTTGAGTAGACGTTACAGCACAGGTCGCCCCCGAGTTACAACGCCGAATGAAGACCGGTATTTGCCAGTTACTACCAAAAGCAACAGGCGGAGCACAGCATCAGACCTGTCTCGTCAGCTCTCTTCAGCTACCAGTACGACAGTTTCAAGGCAGACCGTGTACAGACGCTTAGGGCATATTGGTCTATATCATAGATTCTCAACCTTTTTAACGTTGCCGCCCCCTTAATAAGCAAAAAACATATCAACGCCCCCCTTTGTGATAATCCAGTTATTTAGAGCATGAGGACGGAGGGCGTACGCTGAATTATAAGATGCATTTTTAGGCAATTTTTTAAACGTTAAATTTGCTTGTTTTTTTTTAAAAAAAATTTGATGTGTACGTTAACTCGATAATTTTCTCCAGGCAGGTAATCACAGTCTATTTGTCATAATAAAAATAAATACGGTAATGAAAAAAATAGTACAACAAGGAAAACTATACTTAAAAAGAGTCACCTGTTCTTAATTAGATAATTAAAAAAACACCCAAAAATAAAAGTAGTATCAACGAAACAATCAAGTTACTATGTCAGTGGAATGATTGTACTTGATGGTTCATAGCCAATTTCTTAACGTTCGGCTCAATATTTTTGCTGAGGTGAAGACGCAAGTCCCCTCGTTGCATAATTTCGTGTCTATTTCTCTTTTTTTTGTGACTTGATCCAGAACAGCGCTGAATCCACTCTCGACGAAGTAGGAGAAAGGGAAGGAAATTGAAAATAATTTTGAAAATAAGAATGAAATTTGACAGTCCAGAGTAGAGGCAACTGATGTTACCTTGAAGCCAAAATTCTGCGAGTTATCACCATTTCAAAGCTTCATTAGTTGAAAGTTTGATCGATTCCTCCTGAATCTAAACCTCTTCTGCTTCAATATTCAAAAAAGGGTTAATAACCCATTGAAGGAAACAGAACAAAATATATTTATAACGGTCAGAAAAGTCCATGTGCAAAGAGTCAAGATGCTAACTATATTCTTGTGTGTCATCAGAGGAAATTTCGCCATTCTTTTCAAGATACGATAAGATTTGAAATTTGTTGTACTCATTCCAACCAAATTTCTGCTACCAAAAAATAAGTTTTTTTGGGTATGTAGAAATAACTGATTTCGTAGGGATCAAATTGAGTTTGTCACCTTGAAGTTGCAAATTAACACCATTTAATTTTGCAAGTAAATCCACCAACGTCTATCTTAAATTCTAGCAATCTGTCTCTCAGAGCTACATTCTGTCTTCGAGGAACTCAAGCACAGAGTCGAAAAGATTCAAGAACCTATTGAGACAAGGCTCCTTTGGAAAGCCAGCGAATCACGGTGTAGTAGCAAGCGATATTCTTCCTAGTTTTTCTTAGACAGCTGTCTGAGTAATCAATCATTGAGAACACTACTGCGAATTTTGTTCGCAGCAGATCTAACATATTGCAATGACTGATGCAAACGGTCGCTGAGGTTTTTTCTTATTAAATACTGTATGTGAATCACGCAGTGAACTGCTAAAATATCTGGTACCACCCTCTTTAAAACGGTGAAAAACCCACCATGTCGACCCACTATTGCAAGAGACATTTTTGATTAAATCGGATGAGGCTGGATAGTGTAAAACTGTTTCTAAAACTTCTTTAACAGCCGGCAGTATCAATTCTTTGCCGATGGTATGACATTTCCCAGATTTAGCAATTATTTTGATATATTATAAGAACTTATCAAACCATCATCGCATTTTTGTGATTAGGTTGTCAGTAAGCCTGAGGCCAAAGGTGCCTTCAGAAACTTGTCTTTGATATTCGTGAAAAATAACAAATCTTTATTTTGTTTGTGAGGATGAATATTTTACAAATGCTTCTGCTAACGAGAAGGTTCCATTGTCTCATTATATTAAACTTTGTTATAAAATATATTCATGAGTAGTTGAGAGTTCGAGGGCGATTGAACAAATCTAAATTTCAAGTACGTGACACTGTATTGAATACAGTTCTTTATATTAACCGACATTGTCGGTGGCAGCAAAATACGAATGAAAGAAAATCAACTATTTTTTCAAATTAATAAATAATTTACGATTAAGAACTAATTCACAAACGTACCTGGCCAAATAAACAATGAAATCGAATCGAAACTAGTTAAAAAAAACTGTTAGGAAGCAAACTAAACCATCATAAGAAAAACGGGTCAAATCGAACATTTTTACAAAAAGTGCATGCACTTTAATTCTCACCAAATGGCTGAAATGAGTCAGAGGCAAAAACTACTAACTCATGCGCTGCAGGGCTAAATGCGCTGCGCTGTGCTTACTTACTTACTTTATTTTAAAACAACTAGGCACCTGGGCCGCGCAGCGGCCCCTATCCCATTCATCATGAAATTAAAACAATGAGTTAAAAACATTTTGAATATAAGCAGTCGTTGTGGTAGCTTTACAATAATATTACCATGATTAGAGAAAATACAAACTTGAACAGAGATATTTACAGTAATTGCCTATGCGCTGTGCTGATTCGGATCGGAGAATATGTATTGCATAAGTTCGTTTTACTGCTGGTACTAATGTTGTATCAGATAATCTAAATTTATTATATTAATTTAATCTTTGTTTTCCTTATCATTAATTTTAGATTAATTTTATTTACTAAATGATTCTTAATTTAATAATTTTATTTGGGAGTATTAAAATTAAATTTGAATAACATAACATGCTCATCACCCCCTACCGCCCAAAGCATACCTAACGCCCCCCTGCCGCCCAAAACAAGTCCACCGCCCCTTAGCATACTCCCAACGCCCCCAGGGGGGCCTTATCGCCCCCGTTGAGAAACACTGGTCTATATGCTCGTAGGCCTGTCAGATGTGCTCCACTTACCGCAACTCACTGTCACCTGCGATTAGCCTGGAGTAGAGAGCATGCATTGTGGACACCGCAACAGTGGTCTTGTGTGATGTATTCCGACGAGTCCAGGTTTAGTTTGCAGTCTGATTCTCGTCGGACTTTCATATGGAGAGCGCCAGGTACCCGTTACCACCAAGACAACACCTTTGAACGACACCGTTACGGTGGTGCAGGATGGCTCGTTTGAGGAGGAATTATTCTTGGTTCCAGAACTGACCTGCATATTCAGAGTGTAACGATGACAGACCACAATTATAGGGATATCATTCTGGAACAACATGTACGTTTGTTTCGGGGCGCCATGGGTGCTGAATTTCTGTTTATGGACGACAACGCCCGTTCTCACCGTGCAAACATTGTAGACGAATGCCTTCAATCGGAGGATATCACTCGTATGGATTGGCCAACATACTCACCGGACTTGAATCCAATAGAGCATGTGTGGGATATGCTTGGCTGACGAATTGCAGCCCGTCAACCCCCCCCCCACCTGTCTACCGGATTTTCGGAGGGCATTGCTTGATGAGTGGTGTAATATTCCCCAAGATCAGATTGATAATTTGATACTCAGCATGCCTAGGCGTTGTACGGCCTGTATTGACATACTCCGTATTAACCATCATACTAACCATGTTATACTGTTTTTTGTAAATAAGTTCTTTTTTGAAATTTGCTTCAGGGAGTAAAAATCGCAATTTTTATTAATTATGTCAAACATATAGCATCTTTTTTGCTCTTTACCTTTTGTTTAATACATAGACTTTACAAATAAGTCAAATTTGTTTGACTTCTGTCTCTTTCTGTGCCTGAACTTCATTATCCTTAATTTATGGACATGAGTGTATATTATTTCCTATGTTCTCTCCAAGTATTCCTCTGGACAAAGTAATGGAAACACTTCTATACTAATGCATTTTCTCATATTTCTCAATACATAGTTAAAGAACCATTTTATAAGTTTAGAAGTCTTTAGATCATGCGATTTTGAAAAGTGTTTAGATCATACATTTTAACTTTTAGTGGATTAAGGGACCGTCAATAAATTATAAACGCAAAATAGTGTAAACACCAAAAAATGTGGCAGTAATTTTGTAACTTGTAACAATTGTTTTGGTTCCTATATGCAATGATTACACAAAATTTCGTAAACTTAGCTTACATATTCATGGAAATATAAAAAAAATTTTGTCAATAAAAAAAAAAAAAATTTTAGTCTTAGGTGTTTTCGCTAAAACTTTAAAAATATGTAATAAAATTAAACAAAATTTTTTGAGAAATTTGAAATATATCTCAAAATGCTTATTTGAAAACTTGAAAACAATTAGCATAAAACTGAGCAAGATATGAGAAATTAAAGTAGTTCTTTTATACTGCGCATTCGCGTAAAAAATTAAAAAAAAAAATTTTTTTTAAATTTTGTGATAAATCGTATTTGGCAACTAACGATAAAAGTTTGATTTGAATATCTTAATATTTTAAAAAGTTTCAGGCAGTTTTCTAAGTAGTTTTTGTACTTTTTAAAAGAAACTCAAAATTATAAGGGGTTTTTCACAAATATTATCTTGCATCATAAGATAAAACTAAATAACAAATGATAATACCTTACAAGAAAACGTTCATACACCGAAATATGATTGCACGAGGAAAGAAAACAAGAGAAAGAAAATGCACTTTTATGGGAGATGAGTCCCAACAATGCCGGTGTCATTTTTAATAAATCTTGATAAATGGTAGAAAGTCAATTTTGTTGAAAACCCCATGTCATTTTTAGTTTTCTTTTAAAAAGTATAAAAACTACTTACAAAATAGATTCATACTTTTTAAGTTTTTAAGAAATTCAAATAAGACTTTTTTTTTTTAAATTTAATAAATACCAAATAAGATTCAGTACAAAGTTAATAAAAAAAAGAATTAAAAATTTACCCGCGCATGCGCAATATAAAAAGACTAAACTAATTTATCTCAAATTTCTCAAATTCGCTTCTAAATCACTAAGAGCTGTAAATCTAACTAGCAGTCTTATAAAAATAAACTTGAATTATCGATCGAACTTAACTAGCCAAAGAAAAATTAAATAGCTGGAATTGGATATTAAAATAGAGAAGTTAGGTCAAAACCCCACAAATTCAGTTCAAAAAATTGAATACAGGAAACTAAAACAAAAGCAAACAAACCTAAAAGCAAGGAATCGTATCAAGGTAAGTGCATTAAATGAATAATCCCAAGAAATGGAAGCGGTTAGATATTACATGATAAAAAAAAACTTCATTGGCTTCAAAAATAATAGTAATCGACATGTTTCAAGAGTTAAAAAATAGGCGCCCTTTCTTAAAATTTGCCAGACCTGAATAAAGAGAAACATAAGTGATTTGAAATGCGACCCTCAAATCTAGCGAGTTCAAATTTTCCCAATTTATTTCCATTTTTCGTTGTCAATTTTATGTTTTATATATCAAATCACTTTGGTTTATTCTGATTCACGTTTGGTAAGTTTTGAGAATAGTCGCTTACTTTTTAGCTCATGAGAAATTTTTATTTTCATCGGCATATTTTTGAAACCAATGAAGTTTTTTTAAATCAAGTATGTTAGGTGGATATAAAAACCAAAGATCTACTTTTTTACATGATCATTGAAGTTAATCCAGACTTATGATTTGCTTTATGTGTGAAGCACGTTCAGTTGAAGATTGTTTGTTTGTGGTGAATAAGACTCATGAAAAATGTGCTTGCCAAAAGTTAAAAAAGTTAAATTTTGTGTGTTGTATCTGAAACATAACTAAACCATATACTTATTTAACATTAAACCTAATGACTTGTTTTATTGGCTAATAAGCCCCCTAAAAATAAAGAAAAAGAAATCGACTCCCATAGTCGGCGAGTTTGTGAAAACAGACCCAAAACTTAAATTTTAAATGACATACCCTTAAAGTGTCGGCAAAGAAATACAGAAACTCAGACAGAATTGTGCAATGACCCCTGATAGCAAAGAAGATCGTAAAGAAAGAGAAATTTCGCGAGACATGAAATATATATTTATTAAACTGATGTTTAAATCAAGAAAATTTCCATACTTTAAAAAATTACTAGAACATTTCACATAGAATAAACATAAGTTGTTTTTAAACTAAGGGTAAATAAAGTTTTTGAATAATATAAAAAAAAACATTTAAATTAAGTGAGTAATTGTAACATTGCACTAAAAGTATAACTGCAACAATGGGAGATATAGAGCCTGCCTCGCCCCCTAGTGTAGCAAACGTAATTCTATGAATAGACCAATGCAGAAAGTCTAGTATCTTAACGACATTGACGTTTAACAACACTGAATGTAAATCACGCAAATAAATTTTAATACTCATGCAAATTTAATTATTTATTAAGACTGTTACATAACTGAAATTAACTCTAGAAATTCAGAAATAGCTTTATGATTTCATCTTACATTTTACTTTAAAAAAATATGTTCCTAATTAATTTAATAACTGGATTCTGATATTTAACCTACTTCCGAAAGCAAGCTACAGATTAAATAGTTTTTTTTTAAATAGTTTTATTTATTTTTGATAAAATTTCTTTCCTGTTTAAGCCGCGACATTTTGTTAACGCTTATATATTCTTTATGGAAATTTATTCAACAGATATTTCACTTCCTTTTTTCCTTCGTTTTGTTTTATATTTTTAGAGATTGCACATACACCCTTGTGCAAATTAATTGAAACAAACTTTTTTTTTCGTGTTTTTTAAAGAAGATGTTTTGGGGTTGTTTCGGTTACAATGGGGTTGGACCTTTGCAGCCTATTGACGGTATGATGCGTTCTGAGTAGTACATTACTATTCTGGGTAAAAAAGTTGCTCCAGAGTGGAAGAAACGATACCCTGATGGAACAGGGATTTTTCAGCAGGATTTAGCTCCTTGCCATACGTCCAAAATTCTCAAGAAATTCATGTCTGAGAATCAAACTGAGACATTGGAATGGCCAGGGAACTTTCCGGATATCAACCCAATTGAGAATCTCTGGGTCATATGCAAGAATCGCCTATTAAATATAAACTGTACAACTATGGAGAAGCTAATCACGGCGTTAATTCATGTGTGGTACAAGGACACAAATATTATAAATGACTGTAAAAAATTAGTGGAATCCATGCCGAATAGTGTCCAAATGTTAATAAAGTGTCCTGGAGATCATATTATGTACTAAAAATTTTTGAGTTTGTACAAATTAAAATAAAATAGAATTTTCTCTTAGTTTTCTGAATTTATTGAGTTTGTTTCAATTAATTTGCACAAGGGTGTATATAAAGAATCTAACAATAATAATAATATACGAGATTTTTTTTACTGTTTAAGCGAATCAGTGACTTAATTCGTTTGTTTTGAACTAAGTATAAAATCACACTACTAACGGCAAAGTCCTGGATAACCTCCATGGCTGCAGGTAGATGCACCGCAACATGAGTTTATTGGACATGCTGAACAAGGTGGCCCTTCTAAGTACATGACACCCCCACTCATATCAGGCCTGCAGACGTAAATCAGATGTTACTATTCTGAGAAGCAGTGCAAAAATTAAAAAGCGAAAACACTCTGAATAACTTTTGATCTGAAGATCGAATTTTAATGCACTAAGACTTTTATGCAACTGAGTCGAAATTCGATGGAACCACTGGTATCTACTCCATTGATTCTCGTTAGTTTCGTGATTCAACTGAAATACTTGAAACTTTTTTATTCACGTGACAGCATGATAGCTTGATTTCGATGGCTGAAGTTCGATCGAACAATAATTGACCAATAATAAAGCAGATATTGTCTGTTTAATTACGGTGGTAGTAGATATAAACCAGGAAAATAGATTAAAAAATGGTTATATGCTACAAATACTCTGTGATAATTCTGTGATTAATTAATACTTCAACACTGCCCCATTGACGTCAAAAATGGTATGACGATTTTATTTTTTTTTACAAATTGGTACTATTGCTTTATTAATTTCGATTTATAGCACAAAGTTCATTAGACTTCCTTTAATTCCTATTACCGAAATTAACTGAACATTATTTCCGTCAAGAAGGATACGGCGATTTTTTCCTTTTTCAAAACGAATTAGTAAAATTTTTTTGCTTTTTTTTTTGTTTTGTTTTTCACCATGTGGCTTACTTTTCTTTTTCAATTATACTCCGTTGCAAGTTAAGAAAAGACCATTGTGGTATAGGATTTATGTAATAATCCATGACTACATATAGTTTCGTTTTATTTTGTTATCAAATTGTAGAAATATACTTTCAAAAGCAATATGAAAGATTTCAAAAGTTAAACACACATCAGACAAAAATTTAATTCGTGTTATCTTCTACGATATATATTTTAGATTAATTAAAAAAAAATTTCGTAGTCTTACTGGAACTTGGCGGCATATTTCGATAAAAAGGAGAACATTCGTTTTTGGAAAATGAACTACTATATGACATTTCGAGAGCATTGGATTTTTGTTGGACCACTAAAATTAGCGCATGCACTTAACAAATAAAATGTGAAAGAAAGAATTTTTAATTTTGTTTTGCTGCAAAAGAAAATTGTTTGCAATTAAAAAAGTATATTTATTTTTTCATCCGTTCCTTTAATTGTGAACAGAAAGGCGTACATTAGTTACGATTTTTGGATATAATTTCGATTAATTCTTATTACTTGTTCATTTATTGTTGAGTTTTGTTTTTCACGTTTCATCTGATGAAAACATGCAAAAAAAAAGTCTGTGAAACGTAGTTTCAAGAATTGGCGTTGTTGATGTACGCTTGAGCTGGGAGCATGGCATCTATTTGGTGTGCACATAGATGCAAACAGGCTATCTTTCCAAAGGGATAATGAATTTTTTCTTAACTTGCAACAGAGTATAGTACCTAATACCAAAATTAATTAAGGATCAATGTTGACAATAGTATTTCAGCGTTTTTTTTATTCTTTTCTTTGGTGAATTTATACAATTTCTCAACTTCATTTGTTTTTCGGTACAATAGCTAATTTCTTTTATTTCAATTAATACCTATTAACAAAATTTATAAAGCATAATTTGCCTCAAAAATAGCATGGTAATTTTTTATTTATTTTTTTCTCAAACTAAATAATACCATTTTTTTTATTATTCTCTAATATACTACATAGCTCATTTTATTCCAAGTATTTTCTGTTACCAAAATTAATCAAGCAACATTGGTGTCAATAATTATTTTGCGATTTTTTACGTTTCTTCTAAATGAATTAGTACTATTTCTCCATTAATTTTGCCTTTCAGTACATGTTTTTTTTAAATTTCAATTATCGTTGATTTCAAATTATTTTGTCTCATAGAAACTTGTTTTAAAAGCATAACTCCAAACAAAATTAAACGCGTGGAAAACTTTTGAAATCCTGAACATCACTTTCATCTTTGAAAAAAGAAAGGAAAAAACAAAATCATAATCAGCTTAATTTTTATGAATGGTGATTTCTAAGTCTGTTTAAAAATTAAATTTTTCAGACTTCTTCTCAAACAATCTAAATGAAATTTTATGTTATAGTGTTGACAGAGACTTTTCCCGTGCATCGAGTTATCAGTGTGCCGAATTTCATTGCTCTCGGTTGAACGACTTTGAAGAAAAAAATTACAGAACAACGAAAAAGGGGGGGGGGAATAATAATAATAATAAAAATAGCAAGAAACCGGGGAAAAAATCCGAAAAAAGGGGGGGGGAATTTATAAAATTCCGGAAAATAAAAGATACGATTTATATGCGCAAAATGGAGTATTTTCTAATATTGTATCAATATAGCCAAAGCAAAATATATCAATACAATAGTGCGTGAAGCACTAAAAAAAAATTTTTTTTTACGAAAACATTACAACAAATGAAATAGAACACAATAAGTAAAAATATCACGCAAAAAAAGAAAATAAAATATAAAGAAAAAACCGAATAAAACATTAAATGAAATCTATAAAGCGAGTAGCGAATTCAAATGAACTTACATCAACGGGAAATTTTTCAAGAATGATTTAAAATATTTTCATAACAAGATCGCAAAATATGAAATCAAAAGCGTAAATAGAGGGGTTTTGCATTCAAGTCCATTCTTACTGCAGTACAAAGGTGTGTTTGATTTGTTAGTTACCGCGGATGGGCCTGAAAATGGATGTGCTCAAGGTAATATTATATTGAATAATTTAAAGAAGTTGACAATTAATAATTTTAGAAAATTAAAATTTATGAAAAAAAATAAAATAGAAAAGAGAAAGAAACATGAATTGCCTGTTTTGCACATAATTTTAGTCACGGATTTGCCCGAAATGGAATTGCGCATGGTAAAAATTATATAAATTAACAAAGAAATTCTTTAATAAATTTATTTACAATAATATGTAATTAACTCAATAATTTTATATCGAATTTAAGGACTTTAGTTGGGTATCCATTGTTTTTTTCATCAAATTTTGAAAGAGTTTATCTATTTGTTTTTTGGATAAATAAATATTACTACATATTCTTTTATTTCTGTTCATTTCATTAAAAGTGGTATTTAAGTAGATGTTCCTAGAAACTATAGAATTCCAAGTAATTAGTTGGTTTATATAAAAATTGAAATCATTTCTTTCATCGTATAAATCAACAAAGCAGATTTTTTCTTCCTTTATAATACCCAAATCTAAAAAATTGAAATTAATATTATCATCATGATTACGAAGAAAGATTAATTCCTCAAGGTAAATTTTATTTAAATATTATTAATAGTATTATTAAATATTATTATTATATATTATTAATAATATATTATTAATAATTATTAATATTTAAATATTATTAATAATATTATTAGCATCAAAACCAATGCAAAATAATGTTACGGCGAACGCTAGATAATATGAGTTTGCAATGGAAACTAATATTTCATATAATGCGGAGTAAACAGCTACCTTTTGTATCTTTCTAATATTAGAAGTTGTGCAACATAATGTTATATTTCACTGGTTTTCTGATGTTATCTAATATTAGGTGCTACTTGGATTATGCTTAAAATAACCCATATACCTAGATCAGAAAACAGAAGTGTGTATCAAGAGCTGTAATGAGATAATATAATCGCAACTAGCTTGTAAAAATAGAGATAGTTAATCAAGTATTTGAATTATACTTTTAATAGTAGTAAATAAAAAAAAACATCAATTATAAGCTCCCACTGATGAAGATCAAAGTTTTTGATCCCGAAATTGCTTTATAAAGGCAAATAAGTAATTCGAAACATTTGCATCTCTTAATTAAAAATAAGTATATTATTATTATTCAATGAGCGTATTATTTATATGAAATTGTTAGTGACATATAACCAAAGTTTTTATCTTCTTATCTCCCTGCTTGCACTCCACCATCATCATTAAACGGAACCTTGTGATGGATCAGAAATAATCCCATCGATCTTCGAAGTCAAGCTATCGTGCTATCGCGAGACCGAAAAAACTTTTGACTTGTTTAAGTTGCATCAGGATACGAACATTTTTTTCAAATAAATCGAGAGGAAACCACTAGTTCGGTCGAATGTTGCTTCGATTGCATAAGACTCTAAGCGATCGAATGGGTGTGAAAGATATGAATCGTAGGAGCGCGTTTCAGTCTGCTTAAGACTCAATCTTATCGAACCTTAACTTAAATCTGCTAATTAGTTAAAGCAGACGATATTAAGTCACAACATAGTACTTTCTGATCTGAATAAACCCTTTTGAAAATTTGTTAAATCAGAAGATATTTGAAAAATTGCCCCCATATTTTGAGAGTCAGGAAACCACAGGAAAAAAAAAGATATGTTTATTTAAACTTTTACGTTTTTGTGTTTAAAAGATATGTTATATATGTTTTGTGTTAAAAGATATGTTTATTTAAACGTTTACGTTACGTTCGAAAATACGTTTTTGTGTCTAATATTTGTACTTCTCTAATTAATTAACATATTTAAGGTTGAAATGATTAAGACTGAGTCTTCTTCCTGTAATATATACCAATTGTATTATTTAAATATAGCATTATGTTAAAAAGTGCACTATAAATTACAGATGCATCAATTTTAAGCAATTAAACCCATTGTTTTATTAGAAGAGTAGCAGAATGACGTGCCTGGACAAAATAAAAAATAATTTTCGATCCAGTAGTTAATAACATCAAGGAAAAATTCAATCAATTTTTAGACAATCAGAGTGTAAGAAAGATTTCGATTACTATAAGAAAAAGTGGACAACGGTCGAGGGCAGCAGTAAATGAAGGTTGGCAGATCGCATAGCAACTGGGCAGAACGAAGATAGGGCGGGATCTTGCTTTTTGTTGGGAGTAGATAGACATATATCAGATAATTAGTAGTATGATATTAATAGTATAGATTATGAGCATTGAAGCATTTTAATGCTCAGTGAGTTAAGGTAAACCTAGAGTTGACTGTGAAGTTTCAAAGAGTGAGAAAGAAATGTTTTCAAAATATTAAAATGTAGATAATTTATGGCACGATGGTTCAGGCCTGATCTTAACACGATGACTCAGGAACTAATTTTTCAATAGTGCGTAATGTTATTGTATGTTTGATATTTAAAAAAAAATATTTTTTCACTCTTTGAAAAAATTCATTGTCGATTCTAAATTTACCTTAACTCAATTTTCCTTCACTTTAAAAATTCTTGAAACACTAATGAAGGCGAAACAGAATTTGCCGTGAAAATTCTTTCCCGTGCCCTCTTGCGAATTTGATAATACTCTGGTACACTAGAAAAATGCCCTGTAGGATTCATTTTTTATCGACAAGATCATCGGAATGCTATGTCTTTCTGACGTGTGCTGCCTGTTAGTTTCGAAATCTGGTTCTCTTGCTGATGTTTCCTTTTAGGTAATGTTCTCTCTACTCTGTAGGATGTCAATGTTGATGATGTGTTGTACTCAATTAAACTGGTCTGTGGACTCCTCGAACCCTAATTTCCTCTGAGACAACGTTGTAATATTTTTTATGAAAAAAAATCGTCAAGATTATGTAACGCAGAGCACAATTGTTACATCGAAAACTATAGTATAGAGGGAATAGTAGCACAATTTTTTTTTAAAAACAACATATGATATGTTGCATTTTTAATTGTTTGAGTCTCAACTATTTTTAGCAGAAATTTCTGCTTCTAAGTAGGGTAAGCCAACCAGTGAAGAAACACTACCCAGTGAAGGAACATTTCATATATATTGATTAAAAATAAGAATTTGAAAGTTTTTCTTTAGATTGATTGGTAACAATAGCTTACTGCCAAACAATAGGAAGTCATCTAGCAATGTTTTGGATTACCTGGTCAAATAGACTTCTCTGGAAAAAAATTTGAATTTGTTATTATCTCTGCAACATCTTGTTTCTTTGAAAAAATTATAAGGTGAGTGTTTTTATTTATATGTTTGAAGTGAAATTAATTGCATGTAATAGTTTTATTTTTCTCACTGTGAAAAGGAGAATTCAAAATATAGTTATTGAAGTTACGTTTTATTTTTTTAAGCATCATAGCATAATAAAGTACTGAGATAAGGGGGTGTTTATTCACTTGATCACCAAAAGATGAAAAACCAGTGAAGGAATAAGTGTTCCTTTACTGGGTTTTTTTCTAAGTCAATGAAAATAAAATATAAACTTTAATTTGCTTGTACTTTTAGTGATGTTCCGCATCAAAAGTATGTTAAAAATACGAAAAACAACTTCTAACTAGCGAGGGAACAGGCATGTTCTTTTACTGGGCATAGATTTCCTAGTGAATGAACAGTATGTGTTAATATGTTGACACTTTAATTTTCAATTCATGATTACAAAAAAAAGTTTACATTTTCCAAGTATTTATATGTTATAATTGCAAGAATGGGCTTGTTTTTAAATATTTGTATGGCTTATAAATTCATAAAGAGCATTAAAAAATAACCAAAATTAAGTGTTCCTTTACTGGGTGTTCATTTACTGGTAAGAGCTGTTCCTTCACTTGGCCTTCTTACTACTTGTTATTTGAACCTCCAAAACTTTAAAACAATATTATGTAAGTTCTCTACAATTTTTTTACATAATTTGCAATTAGTAACAAATATGTTGACACTGTCATTTAACTAAAATTACGAATTTTGAAATTAATATGATTTTTTAAAAGACAAGCGAAGCTTAAGTGTTCCTTCACTGGTTAGTTTACCCTAATTTATTTTCTGTAATGTTTTAAGTTGTAGGATTTCGTTAGATTCTAAAACCATAACTTGAAATAGTGAACTAAATTTGAGAATGGAAGGATTCCTTTAAAAGAATCAGACTAATGAAAAGAAGCCATTTAACTAATTTGTGCCGAGCACTTGTTTAAAATATCAGTTAAAAAAGGAAGGAAAAAAAAGTGATTGTTTATTCTTAGGATTAATTTTGCAGAAGCAAGGTACTACCATAATATATTGATAATATAATCACTCATAATTGGATCCGAAGTAAGGCGTATTACTTTTTTCCAAGTTAAAGTGGTAGGTAACAGAAAGAAAAATCAACTTAACATAAACAATACCACTTTTTTCAGATAATAATTTTTCATTTATAGACCACTGGGCATAAATGGGTTAAAAAAAACGAGAAATGTGGTAGCGAATATACATCTTAAAATCTAAACACAATTAAAAATTCCAACTTTCCTCTTTATTTCCTTATTTTAATGCTTCAAAGTTATAAATATTGAAATAGGATAAAAGAAAAGTATACAGGAGTTTGCTTATGCGCTAACTGGCTCTCACTCTTGAAATAGTTCGAGCAGAATACTTATAAGAACCTTTGTGGATACTCTCTGTTGCAGAAGAAGGTCGAACTCGGGCACGACGCAGTAAAATTTCGAAGCGACTATGAGGGTTGTAAATTAAATAATGGCAACTTAACCTTGAAACTCACAGAAGGCCGGGCATGCGCAAATTGGATACGGGAGCGGTGAGGTGGCGCTGTTGTCGATGTGTAGAGTGCAAAAAAAGGTCGATTTGCTTAGAAGGGTAGTTGTTGTGTGGCGTTAAAGTGAGGAGTTTCGTTTCCATCGCTCTAAAGCATGTTTTCAAAAGATGATCAGCGGTCGTGGCTTACAATCGAGGTTGCCCGTGGCAAAAATGCAGCAGAATGCTATTGAGGATTAGTGGAAGCCTGTGGAGCAAATGTTTTACCGTATAGGGCAGTAGCACGATGGGTTCAAGCATCTCGTCTGTTTTCGTCATTAAGCTTTTTCACAACATGCTTTAGAGCGATGGAAAGGAAACTCCTCACTTTAACGCCGCGCAGCAACTACCCTTCTAAGTAAATCGACTGTTTTTAGCACTCTACACATCGACAACAGCGCCACCTCACCGCACCCATACCCTATTTACGCAAGCCCGCTCTTCTGTGAGTTTCAAGGTTAAGTTGCTACTACTTAATTTACAACCCTCGTATAAAATTTTCCGTATGCTTTATTTTAACCTTATAAATAATCTAATTTATAGAAATTCGTTGTGCTCAATCAAGTATTAAGAAATGTAAAAACAATTTACCCATTTTTGCCAAGCGTTCTTTTAAAGGGATATTTTTAAGTGGTAGCAGAAGTGTTTCATTATTCAAATTTTAGAAACAAGTTAGATTTGTCCACCACTATATATTAGTAATAAAAATATTTATATTTGTAGCTGTAGGTAATATAAATGTGTTCTGTGATACTTTTTAATATAAAGGCATTTTTTATTTTTAGAGAGATTTGTGTGACATTATTGGAATAAGAATAAAAATATTTAGAAACATTAACTTCTTTGAGAAGACATTAATGAATTGTACAGATTCAGGATAAAAAAAAATAAAAAAAGCGATAGCATAAATGATGGTATAATTAATTTCCCAGCTAAAAATACGCAGCAGTTTTTATACAGAACTGAAGTAGTTTTGTAGTTTTTTTAGAGTTAACTGCAGCTTTCCTGTAGTACAATCTTAAGTGTAAAAACACTGCAGTTATTTTGTAGCTAATGTGAAGTAATTTTTTAGTAATTTATTTAAAAAAAAACTTTTAGCTTCTGTCTACAAAATTACTGTAGTTTAAGTGAGGTTTTAGTTACTATACCTATATAGTTTGTTATATAGTCTACTATAGTTTGAGTCACTTTAAAATCTTAAAATTAAAAAAAAACTTAAACTTTAAATCTATGGTTATGCGGCTGTAAATATGAAGTAATTATGAAGTCATTGTTTCAGAAGTTATATTTTCAGATTAATCTGTAGAAAAACTACAGTTACTTTGCATTGTTGTAAAATTGAAAGTCTTTGATGTCATCAATATTGCTTACCTCGTTTGCAAATCAACTTTTTATCATTTTTACGTGAGAGTTCGAACACTAAAGATTCAATGCGTCAATATTTTCACAACATCAAAACTTCACGAGTGCTATACTCCCTAACTGATACATCTGATCAAGAAAATAGATCAAATTTAAAAAAATAAGTAGTGTTTTCTTTTCAAAACAAAATGTATAGTATTTCCTATCTCTCATGATGGATGAAACCACTAAATACTGATATTTATGCATACTTAATGAAAAAATTTTGCGGTAAGTACTACTACAAAATTACTTTGCATGCAAAATTACTCACACTACAGCAAAATTACTCACAAAAATAATTTTGCAGCGTTTTCACTTCAAACATTCTGTAGCTGAATTTACCAAATCACCACAGTCTTCAAACTGCATTTTTTTTTTGTAGATTTTCTGCAATTTATTTTTACCTGGGTTGGCAGACATGTTTTGCTTTCACTTTAGTTTAACCGTTCACCGTTAGCTTAAGCCCACATCCAGTTGAAAATGTAACTGCAAAATTTTGATTTTGAACTAAGTAGTTGTTAATTAAATCAAACAATTCTTTAAACTATTATTCCTGCCCCCCAAATAAGCTGTTAAAAATTGTTCGGTTACCAGTTTTAACGTTTCATGCTGGCCTTGATTGTCTGAGCAAAAGGATCAAGTAAATATCGTACCTCAAACAATTAACTAATTTTTGCCTATCATGTATTTACAAAATTGTACTGATATATTAAATTACTAAATTATACTAATGAAAGTTATAAGTTGTAATCATACTTACGATGGTCCATAGTCGCAAACATAAAAATGATTTACTTCTCTGGAATTCAATCGATAGATCGAAACACCACAACCAACTTTATAAGTTTTCGCCCAATTAACCTGTAAGAAATAGTTTTTCCCTTTAAAATAAGGTTGCTGTTATTTGGCCATTTCGTTAGTCTATTATTTTGTAATTACGATACCTACCAACAGCCACCCAATTAACCGTGAGTTTGTCCACATTCAAACAAGGTTGAAAATAAGGTTTTTGAACTTTTCTTCTAATATTTTAGTGTAAACAAATTATGGATACCAGTGAAGCGTTAGTAACGTTTTATTTATTTACAGACAATATTGCAAGATCTATTTTCAATAAGCGTTCTTTACCACGAGTCTTTGTTTCATTATAACCAGGCGTATTACAACTTTTCTTTATTACACCCAGCTCGAGTTATTGTGAATGATACCTTGTCACAACCGTGGAAATCATACAAAGACTAATATTTCGTTACTTTTTCAAATTGTGCAACTAAGTGCCATTGTATCTAAATTTGTAAATAAATAAATAAAAAACAAACAATTGCCATGATTATCTATTATGATATAAGTAAAAACACTCCCAATGCAAGCCAAGGGATGGAGATGTCATAGAAGTTCATCATGCTTAATTTATTCAAGACTAATGGAATCAGCACTACGCACAATTAGCCCTTCGATCTTAAGCTGGGTAAGCTTCACACCGGCGATCGAACCCTAGTACTCTTTACTACTGTCTGGTTTACTCTTCTATACTTTTGTTATCCTTTTTGTTTGTTGCTGCTTTTTAGTAAAAGAAAAATTCAATAAAAGGCTGGATTTTAGATAAAAGTCGTAAGTAACGCGCATCGTTTTCTTTAAAGGGAGTTTCGTATTGCCCACTGTTAATATTTCTAGAATTCTTGTTTATACAAATTACACATATGGGGATATGAAGAGAATGAGAGCGTTTTCAAATTATAATTATTCGTACACGCAATCACATTATAGTGAACAATTTTCTTTATTATTATTTATGAGCTAGTACAAAAGAAGTTTTTGTGAGTTCGTCGAAATGGGCTCAGCAAGAGAATTTTTTCACATTTATTCTGTTCAAATTACATTTCCAATGACTTCTTCCTTTTGAAATTATCAAACCAATTTGTGCTTTGTAAGTAAGTAACACATAAAACAAATGAAAAATTATTTGAGTAGTCCGACTTTTGGAAACATTATAATATAAATTAACTGAGGATAAAAAGATTCTGTTGTAAAGATTAAGATGATTCTGTTTGCTAATATTGTATTTAAAAAAAAAAAGAAGAAATATTGTTTTAAAAGGAGTTGAAATGATTGAATGAACATCATGAAAGTACATTAATGACACGTGAATGCATATTGTAAGTAATGGTTGCCCGCCATAGAGATAGTTTTTTTGTGTGTGTTCTTTCAATTTATTCATTATATCTAATGAACATTTATACATACCCATTAAAATCTTAAAATTATATGCTTGCAGTTCTTATAAAACAAGTGTTCAAAATTTGTAATATTTTTTCACACAATCAAATGCGAAACTTATACTGAAGATAAAAGTATAATAACGAAAAAATTTTATGATTTCTTTATATTATAAAATATTATAAAGAATTCAGTAAAATACAATTGAACTGTCATATATTACAAATATTTAATAGTATGTACTTTTACATTCCATGAATGTATAATTCCACAATACTTCTACGTATATTATGCGTTTATTTACGATTCAAAACTGACCTCTTGAAATAATATGCATTAATTATTGTGTAAAGCATCAATTCAGTAATTTCGAAATATATTTATAAGGCAATAAAAATACTAAAATACTCAGTCTGATAATCATTTATTAATTTTGTAACAGTCAAGCATATATCACTACATCTTATTCCTGTATATACAAGTATAAGCGTAGGATATTTCTGAAAAACTCTATTTATCAGAATTGTTTTTTATTTTCATACTTCTGTTGGGTTTTTTTTTTTTTAAGAAATGATTTCTCAATTGACTCTTTAATAAGTCTTACATTTATTCATTTCATGGTATTTAACCAAGTACTGTAATTAATAGTTATTTTTGTATTTATAAAGCGCCGACCAGGTGGCCGAGTGGTTAACGTGTCTGACTGCGGAGCCATTGGCTGGGTTCGAATCCTGCTCAGGGCAAGGATGTTTCTTTCTCTCTGTGTTCTATGTCCTTTCCTCTTTGTGTGAATGTGACCTGCCTATAAACGGGTTTGTGGTTGTGTGACGTGGGCGACGCTGCTCCACCGCCGTGGCTTCGCCACAGGTGCCCACTGGGTAACGAGAAGAGAGTAGCAGTTCTGGCATTTCTGTGGCCAATGGGACAAACCCCAGGTGCCCGCCATTAAAAAAAAAAAAAGTTTTTATAAAGCTATGAAAAATCTAATTTTTATTCAGCAAACTTTCTCTTACTTTTTTTAAAAAAAATTTCTTATGAATTAAACTGAATTTATATACTACATTCAGTACAAGTTCAAATAAATATCTAAAGAATAAAAAAGAATATAAAGGCGCTTCTCAATTATCTTAACACAAAAACAACGGGAAGGGGGATTCTCACATTCAATAAATACATGAACAAGACTCCTTTGAAGATTTCATTAAATAATATTTTGTAATTAAAATCAAAGCATTTAATATAAAACCAAATGTTAGGTCTCCTTATTAAAAAGTTTTTTCCCTTCTTTATTAATTCATAGTTAACAACTCTTATGGTTGTCAAAGAAAAGTTTACCCAATGATTTAAAAACAAATAAGCCTGTTTAACTTAAAAGAATTTTGTGTAATATTTCGATTATTTAATGCTTCATTGCATAAATAGTGAAATGTACGAAAAAATATTTTTGTGAAAAAAAGCAAGAATTAAAAGAATAAATTAAAAGGTGCCAGCTCTGCAAATTCTTATAATAAACTATCAGACTATTAGTGCATGATTAATAAAAAATAAATTTATAGTAAGTAATATTAAATTGGTTATATCAATAGAGAAGATATATTGTAGATAATAGCTCTTCTATTTTAACCAACCTGCTTTGTTTTGAAAAAATGAATGTTTGAAATTTAAGTAGTTACATATAAATACTTAATTGGTCAGTTTCCAAAGTCTTAAAGTACTTCGGGGGTCAAAGTTTTAACGCGTATGCAGAAGCATATCAGCGATTGGATTAGATTTTTTTTTTAAAAATAACAAAATCAGTTAGATTTTTTTTTAATATTTAAATTCAATAATTATTTTAGACAAGTTAATGCAAGTCAATATCAAATATATCCATATTCCATATTTACTTTATCCACACTTGCTTTTCGTCACATGCCCCATTAATAAGACAGGATTTTTCACTGATTAAAATAATTACTAATGCTGCTTTTGTGCCATCTCAGAAAAACCTTCCAATGTTGAACCATAATATTTATACATTGAACTGCAATACATTTCAAATTTGCTGTTAGCCTTCAATAAGATGCTTAATAAACCATGTTTTCTTTATGATGAACTATAAACAAGTTATATTAAGGTTGCAGAAAATATAAACAATATTATGGTTAAAAAAATTTTATTTTTTAAATATCGTAGCTAAAAGATTTTTAATGTTAAAGATGCACCAAGGTGAGAGTACCATGGAAGATTTTACGATATGATGTGCACGTCAAAGATAATCAAGTCATATCACAAAGTGACTAGATAAAATGTTTTCAGTTGATTCTTTTCCAAAAAATAAGGAATAATAAATTTAAACGACTGAACAAAAAGAAGAAAAAAATGAAAGCATGGAACATTCAAATTTAGCTCCAAAGAAGAAGAAGAATTTAGTAGTAGTATCAATTTACTTAGTGCAGCAAAACCCAATTACAAGGTATTCGTGATCAGCTTTAGAGGACAATGGCATCGACAAATATAATGTTGCATTCAATTAAATCAATACTCAAGGAAATAATAACGAGATCGGGGAAGTACTTGATCCTTTTAGAACACACAGAACTGTGGATTGTCTATATTGTATTGTTAACGTTTGGAGTCTATAATTTAAAAAAATTTTAAATGAAAAACAGAGTTGACTAATAATCCTTTTTTCATCTTGAAAATCCAGAAAGGGTTGAGGGGTGAGATGAGTTAACAATGAAAATGGCTGCGGTAGACTATTATGTGGTTAACTCCCACATTGGATGCGGTAAGAAAAAATATCTTGTCATTACGAGAAGAAAAAGAATATAAGAAAATCCTTTCTTCGTGACAACATGATAAATCAAATTGTTAATTTAAACAAGCTAATTAATCTGTGCAAGTGATGTTTCAAGTTATGAAATCACACACAATATATTTTTTGCTTTTAATAAATATATCTTTCAGTTTTTCAATGGATTCTGATTTTTGATCTTCCAAAAGTAAAATAAAAATATGAAGCTCGGGAAGCACCCTTTGGAAATATGAATGAAAATATAGTTCTAATAGTTTTGACACCAGAGCGATCTAAAGTTTGTTCCTCTAGTTTATTATTTTCCTTTTGCTTATTTACAATTTCTCTGACACTATGTCAGTGAATCAAAATATTGTTGGCCTTTATTATAATATATCTAGTTTATTCAAAGGATATATTCAGTGAAAATTAAATTTATAATTTTATTTATTGATCGTAAAAAGTTTTCAAATGTAATGTTTATGATATTTTACATCTGATTAAAGTTAGATATTCCAAAGGTTAAATCTCAAAATTTCATTGGAATCTATTTAAAACAGCTCAAAATGTTTGGATTTTATTTGAAATAAAATTATGATGTAGTTTTTTTATGATGTAGTTTTCAAAACTTATTTAATTAATTTGCGGTAGTTTTCATATTGTTAACTACTTTATTATTTTAATTATGAAACTAATTCGAAGATGTTTATTCATTTCACAAACAAGTTATAGTCGTGTTGGAATTTTCATTACAAGAGGATTTTATTTCAATAAAAAATTATCTTTCAAAATGCGACCAATAGCTTTATATTAATTTAAAGAATTCCCATTAAGCCAGCAGGTGACAATTCTAAAGGTCAATAATATGATATTTTAAAATTTAAACAGTAGTTAAGCTATAAAATTTTAACCTTAAATTTATCATTCATATTTTTCTAAAGATTATAGGAAAACTGCTATATATTGCCAATAAATTTTGCGTTTTCAGTTATGTCACCACCAAAACTAATTGCAAAAGTAATTTTAAATGCTTGTTTCATAAGTCATATTTTAACAATTATTTCTCGAGGTTCACGTATTTCCATTTCAAATTTTAGATTTTATTGCAAAAAAAGTATCACAAACCTCAACTTGTTTCTAAATACATTATTTAAATTTTGATTTAAAAAATGCAAATGTACTATTAAATTTCATAAATAACCAATAATGTATTAAATTAAATAAATATTTAGAAAACAATACATTAAAATTTTACAATACATTTATGAAATTTCAATCTTCTATTGCATTTCTATTTGGATGTTTTAAAAAACCATTTTTCATCTTTAACCATTTATTTTCTGACGAAGAAAAAGAGACACTTAAAATTTTTATGGAAAAGTAACTGAAATTTGTAACTTAAAAAATACCACAAGAATAAATAAAAAAGAAAGTACTAATTTTTGCTAATAATTTACAAGCGTTTCATTACTTTTTTACAAAGTGTCACATTAAAGTAGACAAAATCTAATAGATAGCTCAAAATACTATAAGATTTATAATATTTCTCCTGAAAATAGAAAAAAAATAACAGCTACAGTTACCATGATAAAAATATCGTTATGTGTCAATTCTTAGTGGTTGAAACTTCGCTGTTCAAAACATCGCGGACATAACTTAGCGAAGATAAAACTTCGTGTGGACAAAATTTCGCGCTGACAAAACTTCGTGTGGAGAAAGCTTCGCGGAAAGGATTCTAAAAACAATATATTAACATTAAATTGTAATTATTTTATGCATTAATTTTAATAAAAATATTTTATGTATAATATAGTTTTAATAAATTTAAGTTCATAATTAACTTAATTTTAAAAAAAAGTTGAAATATTAAATTAAATATTTTTTTTATTTATAATTTTAATTTAAAAACTAGAATGTTTTAAAGTTATTTTTTAAATTAATCTTAGTTTATGAATTAAAATTCATAAATAATTCAATTTTAATAAAAGTTAAAATATTAAATTTAATATTTTTTTATTTTAATATTTTAATTTAAAAAATAGAATAGAATACTTAATATTAATTTGGGAAAGAAGTCAATCTTTTAAAGCTTAAAATTCACTACTAAACTATAATAAAATAAAAATATTAAATTAAACATTTTTTTTTATTTAATTAAATCATTTACTTTATTCATTTATTTTAATTAAATCATTTACTTACCCATGTTCCAAAAGTGCAACATTGATTTGGAGATTGATTTTAACTAGCAATTGAAGTTCGGATAATATTTCTTTATACACATTTAAAATTTACATTGTGAAGTATTTTTTGTTTTCAGTTTGATTCCGTTTCCATAATCATTTAATTTGTTTTACAAATTTTGAAATTTAATATAATTTGGACTCCTTGGAAAAAAAATGATTTGTTTAATCCTCTCTAGGAAATCATTGATCGTTAAAAAGCAACACCCCCCCCCCCTAAAAAAAAAACTTTATATCTACAGTTTAGAATGCCAAGTTTTACAATGGAAAATTTAAAAAAGATTTGTACCCACAAAGCTATGAATCGGCGAAGTTTTCCATCGAAATTTTGATCGAGAACCAAGAATATTTCCAATTTACATTAGTATTAGAATACCATCAATTATATACTGATTATTCAACCGATAAAACTTCAAATTTCCTCAAAATATTATTGGAATTATCCTAACAGATTCTTTAATTAAGAATCACAGCACAATATATAACAAAGACTCCATTTCTCATGTAAAACTTTTATAAACTTCGTTGCAGAGCACAAAAATTATAGACTATAAAAAATTTCCAGGCAACCTTTTAAGCTGCAAGTCTGCAGGATTTTATCAAGTATACATAAACATGAGCTGTGCAATGATTCACACTAGATTTAATTGAAATATCATAATCATCGCATAACTTTAAAATTCTTGTAAAAAATGAAGTAAAATAAGTGTTGAAATACAAGAATTTCAGCAAAAACTATTTTATATGACAATTTAAGAAAACTATTCATGTAACTTTCATGTGGTGTTGTCAAGGCCGTTGGGCTGATTGCCGTACTAAAATTTCCTTCAAAAATATAGTGTTTTTTTTTTTTTTTAAGAAATTGGGCTTTGGAAAAGAGCCCACAATATATTTTGTTTTTTGTTCAGTCTTGGATGTCCTTTCTCTTTCACTCCAACTCTAGCTTAAACACTAATCCAGAGGCCGAGGTTTTCGAAATGTAACAGAACAGCCAAGGTTGTTGTTTTTTAGGGTATGAATCTTTCGTATAATGAATTAATTCATTATACGTGACCACAAGAAGAGAGCTTCAAAACAGAGAGTTGATACATAGTAAAGCAGACGCCGTGTATTAATCGACAACGATATGGTAAGCTCTTTTTGAGAAGTAGAATAAAATTCAAAGTATGTTCGCTATGAATTAAAAATTATTTCGACGAAATCACGGTTTTACCTCACTCCCCCATATTCACTATTTTTGCATTTCAAAATCAAGAGAATTTATCGGAAAATGAGTGATTTATTTTAATACATACTTAAAAATGTAAAGCTACGAATTATCTTTCAAATGGTTAAATATGTTCAAATGTTTTTTTCAGAATGATAAGGCAAAACTCAATTTAATAATTTCAGTTCATTTTGAGGGTATTCGGAAATTTCTTTATAGATTATTATTTTATAAATTTGGAAACTATTAATCAAAGAAATAATTTTATTTCCTTATAATTTAAAAAAAAAAAAATTCTTTAAGAATATTTGGGAAAATTTGTACTTGCTTATTTAATTTTAAGTCACTAAAATAGAATACATATGTTTTTGTTATTTGGATACCATAGAATTGTATATAAAATTAAAGTTAATTGGATTTCGTATTTGACAGGCAACAGTAACACAGTTACTTTAAATTTCCTCGTCGGATGTTACCTGTACAAAATGGCCCCATCTTCTGGCCCACGCCATTTTCTTTATAAGTTTTTTATCAAAATTACTGACTTCATCATAGTATAGCTTGATTGACGCAATCCAATCATTCTTTCTAGGTCGGCAATTTCCATCTTTCGGACAATAATAAGGATGAGTAGACATACATTGACACACTGTAAAAGTTCCTAAAAAGATTTAAAAAAAATGCAGTAGGATTTGCTCCTGGGCGAAATAATAGATTTCCTAGCTATATCACGTTTTATTCTTATGTGTGACTTAGTATTGAGAGTGGTTTGATTCTTTTTCTTTTGATTTGTTGAATAAGAAAAACGTCTGGAACTCCCCGCTAAAGAGAGATGAATAAAAATTGAGAAAAACTTAAACATTGATGTTCAGACAAGTGAGTTATTGCTTCTGATGCTGAATTGTATAAAATGAAACCATAATCGATAGGCTAAAAGCTTCGAAGTTATTAAGATTTTATGTATAAAAAGAACAATTTTATGCAACTACTAGCAACTACTACAACTATATAAACATGGGAGGTATTGTTTATCGTGTATGTTTTGGACTCAATTGTGCTATATCAAAATCAAGTTTATAGAATTAATAGTTTAGAAGTTACGAGAGTTTTTTAAAATGTCACATGTACAAACTGCCATATATGGTTTAAACCTTTTTAACCGTCTCTATTTAGACAAGTGTTTCTTGCATATTTTATTAAACTAAATCTAATAAAATGAAAATTTAATAGATAGAGGTAATTGTACCGTAATTTTAAATATTTATGCATAAAAAATTATAAGTCAAAATTTATAATTTTTTATACATGAACCCCTTATAACTTCTAAATCAATAGTTTCTCGATTTAATGTCGATTTAATCTTAAAAATAAATGAACAATCAGAAATATACTTAAAAAGCAATGTATCACATGCTTCACTAGTAATCTCTAACTTGTAAAAAAAGTGTTGGCACAGAAATATATTTTTTATGCACAGAACTTTGATAACTTTCAAATTATTAGTATCTCTCTGACAAAACAAAAGGTTGGTAGAAAACGATTCATAAGAGGGATCTCTCCCCCCCCCCGAAAAAAAGAATCGAAATCCTATTTAAGAGGACGCTATATTAAAGTTTTAGAAAAATTGAGTCGATTGACACCTAGAGAAAGCCTTGAAGTTTCAAACTGTAAAAAAAAAAATTTCAAATGTAAATTATGAAGGAATTGGGTCTCAGGAAAGTCCTCTTCCAATAATTTGTCAGCATTTTGATACTTAGAAATTACTTTTTCAACATTTGAAACTCTAGGTTTGCCCGAACTCACATTTCTCTAAACTTTAAAAGTTAATACACCAATGGAGATTAAACAGAATTTGAGTTGAAAAAGGCTGTATAGCGTCCTTTTGATGAATTTCAACGTCTTGAACAAGAGATGTTGAAATCGCCTCAAAGTATTTTTATTGGTCCTGCCTGACAAAAGCTTATAACTCAGGAAATTGAAAGGAAAAGCTTCCTAAACCTTTTTAAAAGAAACTTGCGTAAACCACCCGGTTTATTTTGTCACTGTGATACAATTTTACAGTAGATTTTGTTTTGAATTGAGGACGCCTTTCCTTCTCCATGACAGCAGATTATACTTAACGGGAATGCACAACTCCTATCTATTTCTTTTTAAATGTTTGTTTGCCTCATACGTTCTCTAAAGCAAGGAAAGAGGTTCTGTTACGTAATGAGCTTTGCTTTGTGTATTTATATCTCTTTGCATACTTCAATGCTTTCTGTATTTAAGGCAAAGAAGAGGCTTTTAGGACATTTACAATGGCTTTAACTTGCGTCACAAAATGAAAATTTGACTAGTCGTTCATTTTTGACCCATAATGTTTTTGCATTTTGATATTTTGAAGAAAAAAAATTCTTTCCACGTTTGAAACTTCATAGTTTACTCTACCGGCCTTTGAGCTCTCATATTTCTTCACTATAAATTTTTAATGGGTGGTGGTGAAATATCGGAAATTGAATACCCCATGGAAATTCGTTCTTCATCAAAATCTCCGTTGAGGCGACTTTAAAGTATATTATTCGAGATTCTCGCAGTATACTCAGTTTTCCGTTTGTTTCTTTTCCTTTTAAGTGTTATTTTCTTTTATTTATTTTTTCTAAATTTGGAACCTTTATAAAATTTGTATTTTATTGAATTGATCAAACAAATATCAATGCGAATTTTGCTGAAAACAAATTTTAAAAGTAAACAATACAGATGAGAAAAATAACAACTATAATATATGAATTTTCCATTTGTTAAATCTGATTTTTTTAATGTTTTAATTTCTAAGCACTTTTTGGATTCTAACTGTATGGGTTCAAAAAAAGTTTTTTTTAAGTAAGAAATTTTTGTATCATTAAAGAATAGGAAACCTTAAAAAAAGCTATTGATTATTAAATTATTTACTTCAGGGTTATTTATTGATATTAGTATCTATTTACCGAGCTAAAATCGATTTAGCAGGTTAAACATTGAAGTATTAAATACATTACTTTATCCAAAGAAATATGATTCCTAATTTTTACACAATAATTATTTATATTGATTTTGAAAAATATTTTAGCTATTCTCAAATAATAAAATGGTTGAACTAAAAAAAAGAGTATTTTCTACAGTTAATTTGATAATAATTCTTTCAGTATTTTTAGATACGAAGAAGTGAAATCTAAAAGTGTCATTTATAACACTAGTTTATGATTTTTTTTCTTTTTGCTAAGCAAAAAAAATAATGATTTTAAATAGAATTAAAAATAATTCAATTGATAAATAATAAGCAATAAAGATTATTTTATTATTTGCGCAAAAACTAATACATATTTATGTATGAAAACCTATTAAAAGTAAATTTTCAAAATTTCTGAATAAAATGGCATTAGTATTTAAAAATTTGATCAATATTTATCTATTTAATGCATGAGTTTTGTAGAAATGGCAATACATGAAACATGTATTTAAAAACTATTACTTACAATGTTACATAATAAGAAATCGTCATGTGATTGCTCTAAATAAACAACACATTCATTTCACAGACTTCAATTAGACTGATAGATTAGATAATTAAATAGATGCAATAAGAATTAATATGCTACCCTGGTTAAAGTGGGTTCAATTACTTTTCATTTAAAAAGATATAACATATATATATATATATATATATAATAACAGGACTACATCCCTGCTATCATCGTGGTATTCATCTTTAATAATGCAGTCAAAAGCCATAATACGTTTATTTAAAGCTATGCTGGTAGTTACACAATCACTGGTAGTTCACATCCCCACTCCACAACGGAGGGGGTGTAGACCAAACTTCGGATGGTTCCGTCAGATGTTTATTGGAGCACGTTATTCAGCAAGAGACATGCGAAAACCTTCGGTCCCGCATTAAATACAGATATTGATGTAATTAGGTTCCTGTCGTACATATCTTTGTTTGCATTATGGAGAATCATTTAATGCTTCCTAATATGGAAGTGAGAGAGGGCCAAGATTATAAAAATAACTCCTCCTTTGAAATATAAATCTAATCATAATTCAATGGTATGTTTCATTCAATGAATGTTCTGTACCTTTTCCCTACTACAAGTAACATCTTTTCAATTATGAGAAGAAAAAATTTGTTTACAATGAAAAAATATAAAAAACATGATAATGCAATTTATCTGTTTAGTCAATTAAACAGAAAGAAAACGAAACATATTTATAAACTATTCTACTAAAATATTCACACAAAAAAATTTCACACAAAAATATGCAAACTTTTTATGCAAATGTACTGGACAACATGTGTCATTTAATCAGAATTTAAGATTCATTGTGGTTAAAAATGTACACAATTTCTATAAGAACGAACTGGACAACAAGTGTCATTTAATTTCAACAATTGTGGGCTGTGATATTTCTTAAGCTTTGATACATGTACTATTTCAAAATTTTGTTTATTTACATTTCTTGCTATTTATTTTGTAATTAGCTTCTTGGTCAATCTTTCTTTTTCCTATTTTTCCTTTCCTTTTTGCTACCCTTTACCTTATTTTTTTTCAATATTTACTTTTACTGAAACATCTTTAACTCTTATTTTTTCGATGTTTACTTTTACTGAAACATCTTTTTCATCATTTTTATTTTTTCGATGTTTGCTTTTTCTGAAACATCTTTAACATCATTTTTAACCTTAACACTTTGAGAATTCTGTTGTCTAATTTGCAAAGATAAGTTGTCACTTTTAGAATTAGCAGAGATGATCAGTCTCTTACCAAATAGAGTAACAACTGGCCCGGCACAATCAATAAACAAACAAAAATCTCTGCATGTTTGCAACCCTACTAAAGCATATGGTAAATCAGTATCAAGTATAAAAAACTTAGCTGAGTAACAATTTCGCCTATCGTAATAAGGGAAACTCACAAATTTTGTTAAGTATTAACAGTCCTTTTGTTTGGGTAACATATAAATTTTCACATTTTTTAAATAGGAATATTTAGTTTTGACCAAATCCGAAAAAGTAACAGAATTACAAATTTCTTCAAGTTTATTTGAAAACTCTTCATCGTAAGGTTCAAAAGAAAGTTCCAAAAAATTTAGAATTTTGAGTGGTTTAATCTAGAAAAATCATTTGGAAACAAAAGTTTAAATAATAACTTAATTTTGTTTGCCGTCACTACTTTAATTGGCGTTTGAACCACATTTATTTATTTCAAAAACATTTTAAATGCACAGTAAATGCAATATTACATCATAATTTAAAAAAAAAAACAATATAAACACTAGAAATGCAAACTAATCATTAATAATATACTATGAATTATTCATAATAAAAAGTTTAGAGCAAGGCTCAAATCTAATTTCAATAAAATATTTACAACCTACTCGCCAACGTCGACCTTCATCAATTTCGAAGAGAAAAAAAAAATTATTTTTTTTATTCGCGCACTTAAATCGTAGCAATTCATGAATATCCATGATTAAGATTCGTGCACATTCACTTTTGTTTTCACAACTTGAGTAGTAAGAATTGTAGGATCACTCGGTGTCTAATCACTACCATGGATGATGTTTCTTCCAACTTAGAGGCACTAATCTTAGACATCAAACGTTTTCATGGCTGTGACAAGAAGCTCTATCCAACGTCTTTTC